TCCCGAAAGTCCAGGAAGACTACGTCCACTGCTACCCCTGCATCTAAGGATTTGGTGACCTGGTCATAGAAGGCCACCAGGTTGGTCTGACAGGACCTGCCTCTAATGACCCCATGTTGGTTGCCCCTAAGCATAATCTCCCCTGCTGGCCCCTCGTGGACATGTGCCATAATAATTCTCTCAAAAAGCTTGCCCAGGATTGAGGTAAGACTAACTGGCCTATAGTTTCCCGGGTCTTCCTTTCTCCCTTTTTCGTAGATGGGAACCACATTGGCCCTCTTCCAGTCCTCTGGCACCACACCAGGGCACCACGAGTGCTCGTAAAGCCGTGCCAGGGGTCCTGCAATGACCTCAGCTAATTCCCTCAGTACTCTTGGGTGGAGATCGTCTGGACCAGCTGATTTAAATGCATCCAGTCCCTCCAGAAGTTCCCTGACTAGATCCTCCCTGATCCTTGGCCTAGGTGCGCCTCCCCTGTAGAGCAAGGGTCAGCAATCTTTTGCCCTTTGTTACCCATTTCTTCCATTCCCTCCCCCCCCTACCATCATGGGCTGCTACCAGGAGGAAAGATGAGACAAATGGTTTTCTTTTTTAATTTTTGTGTCTTGTCTTTGGTAAAAGAGATCAGTGTTGGATCACCTATGCTTCTGAGTTGCTACATGCCAATCTCTACATTTTGGGTTGGAAACCGATGGACCACAGGGTGGATCTAGCCTATGAAGAGGTCTGTTCTGGCATAAGGGATCAGTGGTAGAGCTGTTTCATGCTACCCATCCTTGCCACAGGACTCCCCTTTGCTGTGGACCCTACTGCTCCACTGTGTTTGTGTTTACCCTTGTCACTGATCCCCATTTACCCTTACTCCAGAGCAAGCACAGATGGGTCATTCTGGATACTAACCCTGTCCTCCAGAGTGTTTGCAATTCCACACAGCTTGGTGTCATATGTAGATTTCCTAAGTGTGCATTCAATCCTATTGTCCAAATCCATTAATGAAGATGTTGAACATTACAGACCTAGGAGAGAACTTTGGGAACCCTACTTTACAACTCTTCCCAACTAGACATTGAGCCATTGAGGACTACTCATTGAGCACAGTGATCCAGCCCAGGCAACCCCCGTCATGTGCCAGAGTGTGGCACGTAAGGGCATTTCACTTGGTATGTGAGCCTCAGGGTAGATGGCGGGGGAGCTGCGAGGGGTCCAGTCCTTTCCCCACTGTCCACTTCAAGGTGCACGTGTGCCTGCTGCCAGCAATAATCTGGGCCAGGGCCCCGCAGAACCCAGTGCAGCTGCTTGCAGCCCCCTTTCCATCTGCTGTGAGCAGCCTGTGCTCCGTGGTGGGCAGCAGCGGCTCGTTGCTGGCAGCGGATGCATGGGCACCGCAGGGTAGTGGCAAAGGGGCTGAAGCTGCACTGCCACAACAAGGGTTGGGCTCCTCACAGCTCCCCTTCCTTCCATCCCTGGCATGCCAACATCTTACAAGTTCAGGTTGTGGGTATTTTTGACACTCGGCCCAAAAACATTACCAACCTGTGATCCAGACGTTTATGTATCCACCTTGTAATATTTTCATCTAGTTTGTATTCCCTTAGCTTATTAATAAGAATGTTGCAGGAGATGGTGTCAAAACCCTTGCTGAAGTCAAGGTATATCACATCCGCTGCTCTCCTCCCTCCATTGAGCCTGTCACCTTATCCAAGAAGGATATCAGGTTGCTCGTATGTGACTTACTCTTGGTGATTCCATGCTGGCTGTTCTGATCACCTTATTCTCTTCTAGGTGCTTCACAATAGATTCCTTGAGGTCCTGCTCCGTGATCTTTCCAGGTATAGCGGGCAGGCTGACTGGTCTGTAATTCCCTGGATCTTCCTTATTCCCTTTCTTAAAGGGTACTATGTTTGCCTTTTTCCAGTCATCCAGGACCCAATCTGGTTTCCCCGAGTCCTCAAAGAGGATGGCTAATGGCTCTGAAATTACTTCAAACAATTCCTTCAATACCCCTTGGTGTATCCCATCCACCCCTGCCAACTTGAAAGCATCTAGCTTCTCTGAGTAATCCCTAACGTGTTCTGCTACTCAAGGCTGTTTGTCTCCTTCCTGCATCTGCATCATCTGTAACTACATTGCCTTCTGCATTCCTTAAAGGACCTGTGGTTTCTCTGGTCTTCCTCATACTTTTGACATATTTCTGGAATTCCTTTTTCTTGCCTTTTTATGTTTCCTTACTAGGATGTCACCCTTCAGTTTTCTACAGTATCTACTTATCTTTATTGTTTCCAAGTTCTTAAAACGTTTGATTATTAGGGGTGTACCAATAAAGATGTTTTTGGCCGGTAACAATGGCCGTTTGTTAACCAGCCGTATCGGCCGATACAGATCTGATTGCTGATATGCAGCCTGGCAACTTGACAAGCAGTGTTCAGCTGGTAAGTCTGTAGGAGGGGAAGGGGTGTGTGGGGGGGTGGCAGATCAAGGCCCCCACAGTGAGGGAGGGAGTAGGGTTGGGACAGGGGCAGGTGCTGTCCAGCCAGGGGGGTGGAGCTGCAGGCAGCTTGTCCAGGTGGCGTGGGGAGGGGGAACAGCTCCTGGCCACTGCATGCAGCCCTGGGCAGACATGGGGGGGCATGTGTCTACCAGACTTGTGTGTGGGGTGAGGGCGAGGTGCTTGTTGTGGGTTGGAGGCTGAGCCAGCCTCTTCCTGGTGGGAGGGCTGGGTTAGGACTGTTTGGGGTGGGCAGGTGGGGCTATGGGGTAAGCTATGGTCACCCCAAAATTTGCCATAGCCCCATATCCCCTAGTACTGCTGCCTGCCCTGAGCACAGCCCAAGCCCAGCCCCACCCCGCTGGGAAGAGGCAGGCAGAGCCTCTGGCCCTGAGCTTACAGAGGGCAGCCGACACTCGCCCCATATACAAATATGTGGAGCACACATGCCCCATACCTCCCCAGGGGTGTGTGCTGCTGCCAGGAGCTACCCCCACTCTGTGCCCCCTGGATGAGCCACCTGTGGCTCTGCCCTGCCCCAGCTGGGTAGCGCTTGTCCCCAGCCCCACTCTCTCCCTCACCATGAGGGGGGCCTTGATCTGCACTATCACCCATGCCCCTTCCCTCCACAGACTTAATGGCAGGAGGCTGCTCTCCAAGCTGGTGGGGTGCATTCCTGGCTGTGTGCATGCACATGGCATTTATTGATGACATTATCGGCTATACGGACCAAAAAAACCCGATAGCCGATCAGTAATGTAAATTTTCCTTTTATTGGTGCTTATGTGATACGGACCAATATATTGGTGTACCTCTGATTATGTATATATCTACCATTTAGAGAGCTTACACCTTGTGGTTTCAGTATTGTCCTGCAAGAGAAGTTTCCTGCTTTGAGTCTGACTGCCTTCTTCAGTTGTTCAGTCTTTTGACAGGTTTTCTCGTGCTTGTTATGTTACAAGCTTGAGGCTGACCCTCCCTACAGCACATTCTCTGGAGGCAGAATGAGATCTAAACACCACTTGAAGTATATACCCAAAGTTGGTGTACAAGAAATTGAGAAAAAAACAGGGGTACTGATAGATTCTCTTTGCCAAAACTGTCCTGCAGCTTGGGGATAAGAAATTGCATGTTGTGTGTATTGTTAGGGTCCTCAAATTATTTGATTCAGGTAGGGCGAGATGTTTTTATTGATCTTGTTACTTTATTGTGTTAAAATAGGGACAAGTCATCTTAATACACATCATATCTGTCAGTACATGTAGCTTCTTTCTCAAATGGCAAGTGTATTCCTTCCACTTAATATCAAGGTTGGTTTCTCTAGAGATTAGGGTGCTGTTGCAAAATAGCCACCTAAAACAATAATAAAATTAGTTGTTAGTAATAAAATTGTATATTTTGGACCAGACCTTCAGATCACAGGCAAAATTCAGACAGGTACTTCTTACATTGACTCTTCAGCAACTTAAGAAACCTTCTAACCATTCTGATGAGGATCCAGAAAAACACTGTATGTGGTTACTTGGAGTTAAGTAATCCTTGGATCCGAGCCAGCCTCACAACCCTTCCTTTTATCTCTTCCTTTGGAGTCTTTACTAGCTTAGAGTCCTAGTGAACAGAGAACTGGGGGACAATTGTGGTCAGTCCTTTTTGGCCTCAGGTTATGGAGACTGATTCTTGGCATAAATTATTCTGATCCTGTATGCAGGAGGCGTGTGTGCACTGAAATGGGAATCTCCTTGGACAAAATACTTTGATGGACCAGTTACATTAAAAAAAAAAAAAAAAAAAAAAAAAAAAAAAAAAAGCAAAAGCAGCTTTGTACAGAGGAAAATCTTGAATTAGACTGTTTTGGGTTACCAGTCTGGAAACTTTTTAGCAACAATTGTTACCAAAACCACAGATATAACAAACATAATTGTCATAATATTGACTTGTCCTAAAACGAATCTGTTTGCAAGACAACTTTTTAAAAAAATTGATAGATAGGATCTAAAAATATACTGTTAAGGGTTGGATTCAGATTTCCTTTGCACACACAATACCCAGAGAAATGTTCTTAGCATGCAAAGTGTATAGGATTGGACTCTGTGCCCAACTATGTATCTGTAGTGCTTTTGAATGCTTGTATAGCATGAGCAATGAAAAGCCTGCTTAGGGAAAGCACCTCATAAAATAATAAGTTTTCTCACTGAGTATTTAAGAGGGAAGTTTAGAGAAACAGAATAAACATTATATTTTCAAAATAACTAATAAAAATCAGTCTTTGATGGAGCACCCCTTTAAATGTTATGTCCTGATCTTTAAAAAAATGTATTAGGTTTTTCTGGCTCCTATTAATGCTGTCAGCAGAGAAGAAACTTCTTTGGCTATACAAGAAAATACTTGGACTGAGTATATGCAAGAGGTGTAAAAGGAACACAGTGGGGGAAAAAAATCTGATCTCTCAGTTATATTAGTTGTTGTATGTAACTGCATAATACAATTTTCAGCCATAACTTTTCTTTTCAGGTTGAGTTTCCTCAGTTTAAACAGTAGTTTATTTCTAAAGTTTTTAGAAATTTAAGTTCTTACCCTGCAGGCTTGCTGGATCAGGAACAATCTTTTTGTTCTGTGCTGGTACAGTGCTTGGCACAGTGGGGGTCTGGCCCATGGCTGGGGTGTCTAAGTACAACTGTAATACAAGGAGTACCATGAGAGAGGGAACAGTGTCTGCTTAACATTTCTTAAAAATGAAATGTCACTTCTTTTTTTTTTTTTGGTGTTTGCCAGACCCAGATTAATTCTTGAAATGATCATTGCAAATATCTGTTCAATTTTTAGTTGGCAACCAGAGCGCCAGGTTCCTTTTAATGAAGTCAGATTACCACCTCCCCCGGATATCAAGAAAGAAATAGGTGAAGGAGATGAAGTGGAGGTGAGTTTATCCTGATATTTCCTACCTTGCTTGTATACTCTCTTTGTGGGTGTGACTGTTCAGACAATATACTGTTAACAGTAATCTGAAGATCTGTTAACAGTAATTATACCATCTGAAGTCTTAAAACAGTGCACATCTAATATATGTAAATAATCTGCCTTTTTGAAAAGCAGAATGATCCAGAATATTGAAAACTGACATTGGAAATTAGGGGTTAGGAAGTTAATGAAAATATATTTCATTTTCTCTAAATATTTTAAAAAATACCTGTAATTTTTCACTTTCATGCAAATTTTTGTTGAGTGTTTCTGTTAAAAAAAAAAAAGGGGGGGGGGGAGAACTGAATGTCTTGTCAGTCAAAAAATACCATATTTTCTCACACATGTATACCTTTTCCACAAAGTACAGATTTTGTTTCTGTAATACAAGAATGACAGTCATGCATTTTTTACCATTCTTAAAGAACTTCTGTTCATATTCTGTCCCTTAAATTTTACATGTTTGGTTTTTGTGAAGGTATTTTTGTAAATATTTTTACATATAAGTAGGCTCTCGAGTATCCTGCTTTGAAAGCTTCTGGATTAAAGAACCGGTATATTTCTTTGGCTTTGCAAAATCATGGTGTTGAATCAAGATGTCCTAGAAGAGTGTAAAACTTTTGCAAATGCAAATCATTTATCTTATTATTTTTCAAGTCATAATCTTATAGTATTTTTTGCTTTGTTCTCTGATTATAAATATATAAACATTGATTAGAGAAAAGTGATGTTGTTTGACCAAACCAGGTTCCATTTTTTTTAGTTATTTTTGTATTAAACTTGTATAACTGGTGTGATGTGATGAGGTGTGCACATTTGGATACTTTTATTTGCATAAGCTTTGGGACTCCATATGCAGAATTACAGCTCACATTTAACAAAAAGCATTATTGCTAGATAAATACCATGTTTACTAGAATTCAAAGTGCCTTGGAATTAAAGGCTACCTTCC